CAAATCTAACATCTTTAGAAAAACAAATTGATACCCCACATTTCTTTTTTCCCTGCAAAGATGCAGAATAAATTAGAGGATATTTCTTATAGTACCATAATAATTTAGACTCCCTAATCCAGTGGGTTTCCTGAATGATGCCCACTTGGATTTTCTGTTTAATTAAGGTATCATACAAAAAACCTCTTTTGACAAATGAGTTAAGGCCTTGAACATTAACAGAAATCGCTCTAACCATAACCTGCTCTCTTTTTCTTTTTTAGGCTCCTTGGCCATATCAACAACATAAATAACAAAAAAAAAAACCACTTGCACACCACATAAAAAAACATAAACACCTTCATACCAAAACGAAAGCTTGGATCAAATAACATAATCCAAGAACTGGGTACCCAACGGGACCCACAGCGAGGGGTTAGAGACTCAGAGAGTCTTAGAAGAAAAAACCTATTGGAGACCCTTCTGAGGGCCCACTAGCATTGAGATAAGGGGCATAAGGAAGAGAGAAAAAAAATTAAAATTAAAATTTGGTTAAATATTTTAATTCCAAATCTAACTAATAATTCTCTTATCATATTTATAGGACTGGCTATCTATGCGCAAGTGAGGGGGGGAAACGCAATAGATGTGGAAATTTCTTATAATTTCTAATGAATTCTCTGTATCTTTGAATCACCACAGTGCATCTAGTGCTTTGGTTTATCTTTACTCTGTTACTACTTAATCTCTTGATTTCTTTCACATCCTTATCCTATTGAAACACATTTCTCAGACTCCATAATTTGTTCACAAATTCTTAGAATACTACCTATGATATAGTATACTTAAACCTATTATACGTGAAATATAACATCTAATTGTATCCCAAAAGTGACTATAGGAATTATATAATATTGTGAAATAGTGTATATATTCAAATGATAGGGGGAGATAGATAGATCTGGAAGTATCTAGTACGATCTATTACATTATGTATCTTCCATAAAAAATACATTAAAAAAAAATACTCCTTTTCTATGTTTACCCATTGCTGTGTCGGTTGTTCCCTTGTCCACTCGTATATTTGAGTCAAGTGAACAACTTTGTGGTATGCCTCTATGTCAGGGATTCCCACTTCCCCCTTCTCCCTTGGTTTTGTAAGAAGTTTGTGTGCCAATCGGGGTTTTGTTTGTGACCAAATGAATGTCCTTATGGTCTATTTGATTGTGGTGAAGAATTTAGTCGGGACGGTTTGTAATGTATATAGAATGCGTGGCAGCACATTCATCTTGATGATGCTGATTCTACAGAACCAACCGTAATACGGTCTGTGCCACGCTTTCAGATCTCTAGATATGGTTTCCAGGAGTGGGAGGAATACAATTGCCCTATCTGGTGTGGTAGGTGTATCCCTTGATACTTTATTGATTTGGTGACCCAAGCAAAATAAAAGTTTTGTTGTATTTATCTATCTGTGTCTGGTGTCGTGTGTAGAGGAAGGATCTCCACTCCATGAGATTGGCCTGAAAGTTTGATATTCCACTATAGGTGTTCATTTCGGCTAGAATATGTGGGATGATGTGGGTTGGTTTTGAAATTTTAAAATGTCTTCAATTGTTAGGCCCTGTATCTGGGGGTTTTTCAGTATACCCTGTGGGAATCGCGAGAGCGGACACCCCTGTCTAGTTCCATTCCTTATGTGTACCACTTCCGAGAGTTGGTCGTTAATGCGGAGTTGGGCTGTGGGCGACGAGTAGAGTTTCCCCAACCAAGTCAGCCATGGGGGCCCAAAGCCCAAGTGCTGCAACGTGGCCAGCATTAGGAACCAATCAACCCTATTAAATGCCTTTTTGGGGTCAATAGCGAGCAGTACACTCTGGATTTTGTTTGTTTTTGCCCAGTGCATTATATTTATATTCTTAGTGGTATTATTTTTTGCCTCCCTACCAGGTACAAAACCGGCTTGGTCTTGATGTATGAGTCCCGGGAGCATCGGTTTCAAATGAGTAGCCAGTATTTTGGTAAATAATTTAAGGTTCACGTTCATAAAAGAAATGGGTCTGTATCTCCCACAGTTTGTGGGATCTTTACCTGGCTTGGGCAATAAGGTTATGGTGGCATTTAGAGCTACCGAGGGCATGGTATGTGGGTCGTTTCTAGAGTTAAATGCCTGAATAATGTCTGACATTAGTTGTGTCAGTGAGCCATTGGAATGTCTAATGTCTGAGATAAATGTTGTTTGTCTTTATTGTTCTAGGGATTGTGCTAAAAGGCTTTCGCATTTGCCCCCCCCGTGTGTAGTATGTGTGTTTCGTCCGATGTAAGGAACTACGCATGTAGTTGGAGAATGGTCGTCAGTTCTGACCTTTTAGCTGTCAGTGTATTGTGCGTCTGCATCGATTTGTCCGCACAATGGCGTATTTCTAGATTTTGTATGTCTTGGGTTAGGGTTTTTATGTGGGCTTCCCTCTGTCTTTTCTGGGCTGCTGCTATTTTAATGATTTCTCCTCTGAGAATGCACTTGTGGGCTTCCCATGTTATGCCTGGTTTCATGTCATGTTTTGTGTTGTTTTCAAAATACCTCTCAGCACAGTTTTTATTTTCTCTATTACCTCTGTATTGTTTAGTAGGAGATTATTTAATTTCCATTGAGAAGGGGCATGTATTATTGATGGTATCACCAATTCTAGAGTCAGTGGCGCAGGTGATAGACCCGTAAGACACTGTCTTAATTAGACCAAGGTATTTGTGAGGGAGGAGCAGCTATCCTAGTGTTTACTAGTCTCCAGCTGTCATATATTCTAGCCTGATGGAGGGCTCCTAGCAGACGTTTACGGGTTGGTTCTAGGTAATCGCTAGAACTGGATGAGGTGTCTAGGTTACCATCCAGTGAGACATTTAGGTCTCCCCCATTACCAACAAGCCCTTCTGAAATTCAGATAGTTTGTAGAGAATTTTTCCTAAGGCCTGCCCCTGTTTTGTGTTTGGTAGATAAATATTTGCTAGGGTGAGCATGATGTTGCCTAACTTCCTTTTAAGGAATAGGTATCTACCTGCATCATCAGTAATTGTTCCCCAAATTTAAACAGTACCTGCCACCCAATCAAGATTGCCACTCCCCTCGCTTTAGCCTCTGTGTAGTGACTGAAATAGCCATTTGGGTATTTGCGGTTTCTCAATGATGGAGCTGAGTTTTGCGGAAGTGTGCACGAACACTATGTCTGCGTTATGCCTATGGAAATCTGCCAATGCGAGTGTTCTTTTTTCCGGGACATTCAGTCCCCTGGCATTCTGTGTGTGTATGTGAAAAGTTATCATGTTTTCTGTGTCTGGCATGTTTGCAGAGAAGGTGTTGTTACAGGTAGTTGGCATATTTATCCATGTACTCATGGTTACAACCTCACCCTTGTGTGTAAGGGTACTGTATGTATCCCTCAAAACAAAACAAGTGGATATGATCTACAACAATAATAGTGTACAAGCTGAGGTGCGGAGTGAGAGTAGGAGCAAGTACGCCACAGAATACGAGACCCCTCCAGGTGAACGTAAATGACCCCTTCCTGCTCCCTAAACAAATATCCCTCAGTTACGAGGGTGATTTTAAAGTAGCAATTTATTTAACACAAAGTAAAACCTTATGTAGTTTCCTATTCTGTCTGCGTGCAAGAGTCAGAATACAATCTATTCGGGTACGCTGCAAGGCTAGAACCTGAGGTATACAGTCCTGTACTGATTTATGTAATATCAGGGAGAGTCTGGAGAGATGGGGGGGAGGATAATCAGCGTCTAATCTCTTTGTCTGCACCCTGTCTGTGAGATAATGCTGTACCTACATACATCACATTTCTACCTGTGTTTTTAAGAATAATAGTTGAGATTTTACACTCAATAAAGGAAGGTATCGCCCCTGTAGGAATGTGGTGAAGCATAAGACCTTAGAATCATCTTCCCCTTTGCTGGCGGTAACCAAGGTGGCGGTCAGTCTCTCTCCCGAGCAGTCTCTAGGTCTGGCATAAGTCCGTGATGGGCCTGGTAAGGACTCTCAGAGTGTCCCTTTTTGTGATGCTTTCTCAGTAGTGCTGGACCAGTTGCTCCATTTTTTAGGCCTGCCGTGTGAGCGAGAGTAGTCTGTGTGGGAGACTCGGGATCGCCTTGTAATCCAAGTGCAGGGTTAAACCGACCTTGTGGATACCTTGGTATAGATTTGTAATCCCTTATCTTGTGGGCGGTCCACATGATAAATTGTGAGTGAAAACTTGAAAGTGAGTGTTAGTCCAATATCAGTTAGTTTTGGACTTCATGTGCAATCCCTGGTGACTTATATGTACGGTTACAGTTCCATTACTTGAGATGACTCTGTTACTCTGGCGCAGACAAGTGTGGGAGGGAGGCTTGTTGATTTATCGGGCGGTGTTTCCTTGATCTCCCAGGGGTCTTCTCTGAGGGGAGAAGACTCGTTGATCCGTTCTCCTTTTCTTGACCAGTGTGTTCCAGCATTGTCTCTGAGGTAGGATGGTGGCATCTTGATTAGGTTGTGGTTCGAACCAGTCTAGGATGTGGGTTTCGGGTAGTTTCAGGGCTCTCAGGAAGGGCCGCACATCCAGGTGCGTTGCAATCGAATACATAACGCCTTTGTGATTAACTATCAGGGCAAACGGATATCCCCATCTATATTTTGTGTTGCGATTGCGCAGATGCTCCGTGATGGGTTTGAGAGCGCATCTCGCTTGCAGTGTAAACCACAATAAATCTGGAAAGATTTGTATGTGATTTTCATGGAATAGGAGAGGTTGGGAGGTTTCCCTGAGAGCTTTAAGTATATTGTCCTTCACTGAGAAGTAGTGGAGTCTGCATATGATGTCACAGGGTGCTTCAGATGCTGCTCCTCTTGGGCGCAATGATCTGTGCACTCTATCCATTATAATAGGGGTGTCTGTCGGGTCACCTAGAATTATATTTAAAAGCTCCACTAAAGTGGACATCACGTCTTCCCTCTGTATTTCGGGCAGCCCCCATATTTTTCAAGTTATTTGTCTGGCTTCTATCTGGGATAGTGTGGTGGAATTGTTCGTGATTTGGGCCTGCATCACATATTTTTCCTCTTCTAGGTCTGTCACTTTAAGACTTACTTGCTTTATGTCCACACCCACCACATCCATTTTAGACTGAAAGGATGCTTCTAGTTTTTCAGTCATATTTGCCAGGTCTGCTTTAGATGGTAAGTTCCTCAGCAGGTTCCGAATTTCGGGATCATGTGTTGCTGCTTGTGTTCTGCATGAGCCTTCTGATGGCACTGGGCTGGATGGTGCTGAGTCGACCGCAATCTTGGAACCCACGGCCTCCTTCTCGCTGTCCACTGCGTCTTGAAAATATTGGGTAAGTGTGCTCAATTTTGCTGCAGGGGTTTTGCCTGAAGCCCCCTGAGTTGTGGTATGCTTTTTGGGGTTCCCCATATCTCCTCCTGACCTCCGATTGCTTCGGATTGCACTTCAGGGCTCAGGGAGCTGGATTAGTGCACGTCCATTCAGCTCTGCATCAGGCCACGCCCCCCCATGTTATGAATGTTTTATCTTTAATTATAGCTGAAGATTTTATTTATTCAATTGCATAAAATATCCAAATAGTGTAGTTCAAATTTTCATATGATTATGATGTATTATTGGTCAGTAGGGGAAAGATAAAGTATGTTGGGTAGAGAAAAATAGGAAAAACATGAAAAATATAATTTGTTGTACAATGAAAATCAATGTTACTATTTCCTATTTGTGAAATTGTGTCACACATCTTTAAACGACCATCCTGGACACACAAAAAAACACTTCATGTCTGTAACGAACGCTGGTATAGCAGCTACCCGTTCGTCTATTTCTCCCTCCCAAACTGCTACTCAAACATCAGCCGAAACTAGATGAAGGGCGTAACACGAATGATTTTAATGGTTGAATTTAATGGGTGCCACACTGGCTTTTATGCAAGCCCCCACGCAAGGGGCACTCCCACATAGATCTTGTGGGGGACAGGGACACAAAGGCTACAGCCAATATTAATACAGTGACAAAGTATGACACTCCCAATACAAAGAGACAATCCCCTCCTCTCTGCCTGTGAGATAATTGAGTCAGATAATGTAATAATTATCTCCAGGCAGAAAAAAAACATTTTTTCATGAAACTTGAAAAGTACCCCAAAACACATAAAACCCCCATAAATGTTATATCCCCTGATAACCCTGCCTATACGAACGGCAGCCACACAGGGAGAGCACTTAATTGACTGTTCTCTTTGAGCCAGGGGGGTGGTCGGTGTTCGGTAGTTACAGCTCCTGGAAAAAAGTCAAATAACTGAAAAACATTGTAATTTCTTCACAATGTCAATTAAGTGTGTAATGGATTCCAATACTCCAGCTGAGTATATCCATTAAGAATCTCCAAGTCCCAAGCGCAGTAGTAGTGATTATAGTAGTGAATGTAGCTCCCAATCCCCCACACATTAGCCTAGACTTAATGAAGAGGTTAAATTATCTGTTTAATCTAGACCCAATGGACTGCTTTTATATAATACAGAGACACAGTAAACATGCCCATGACACTCCCATAAACACACACACAAAAGTCTCCAAAATGTTATGTCACCATGACTAAGCATAAAATGACAAATTACAGAAAACACACAAAAATACATGTTTAGCATAGAGGAACCCCCATAGTTTATACATTCCCGGATAGCCTGGATCTGATTGCCAAAGTTGTTCAGATAGTGCTCAGAAGTCCCACAGATATACAGATCCCACGAGCGGGGTGAAGTTTTGATCGACCGCGGGGTGAAGTTTTGACCGACCGCTCAAGAGGCGCCTGCCCAAAAATAGTTCCATAGTTTTAGAGGTAGCGGTCGGTCATGTTCGAGAGTTCCAAAACGCACAAAAAGTAGAACGGTTCCCATTGCTCATTGGTAGTGTTTGTTCGTGAGGTCCATACGGACAAACCTACAGAACTGCGCTCTCCTGGCTTGCCGCAAAAGGAAGCAGGCATTTGCGTAGTTTCACCAGTGTTCTCACCGTCGTATGTCCATCTTGGAGTTCCAGACACTTGACGACCAAGTCCCACTGCCTGTTTTCGTGCGACAAGTTTTCTCCACCACGTGGTGTTCGGTTATACGAACGTTGGCCACACAGAGAGAGCACTTAAATCTTGCGGTTTTCTTTGTACTTGATGAGCCAGGGGGTGGTCGGTGTTTGGTACTTTATAATCCTGAATGTGAGGGAGGCATAAAAGAAAGTTTAGAACAGGTTCCTGAACTGAGGAGGATAACAGCTCCTGAAAAGGCAAAATAGGGGTTTTATCACAAAGTGGTTATGGTGTCTTAATATTTTTACCTTAAGACACTTTTGGCTTAACAAAAATGGTGATTGGAGCTGCACTAAATCCCAGCAGCCAAATCCAGAGTAGGACCAGCAATCCCACACCGACAAAGCAGCACAAGAGATTCTCCAGGCACTCAAGGTATTAAAGCCAAAGGCAGTTTTAATAGAACAAAAGTCAAGCTGAGAAAGACCTCTTAGCAGGTCGAAACATTGCTGATCCTTTTGTTCTATTAAAATTGTCTGCAGCTTTAACACCTTGAGTGCCTTGATAATCTCTTGTGCTACTATTGCTTTAACCTGCACAAGGGGGGAGCTGCGCTAGCCTAGCCTAGCTTACTGGACTCCACTTTAAGTTTAAAAGCCGGTGAGGTAGCTCAGTCAGGGCTGCCACCAGAAATTTTGGGGCCCCTAACTCAGCTCAGGGTCTGGGCCCCCTCCAATCCCACCCACAGGGTCCATCTCCAAATCCCGCCCACAGGAATTCACACAGACACAAAAACACACACTGATACAAAAGGACACAGATACACACACACACAAAGATACATACTAACAGACAAACATACTGAAACAGACATACACGCATATAGGCATACATACTGACACACACATACTGAGACATACACACATATACAGACACACAGGCATACATAGTGACAGATAGACACATACTAACATACATACAGACACACATGCATGAGGACATACACATACATACACACAGACATACATTCATTCATACTGGCATACATACATATATACATACATACATACATACATACTGACAAACATACATTCATACAGACACTGACATCCATACACACATACGTACACAGACATACATTCATAATGGCATACATTCATACTGGCATACACGCATATATACAGACATACTGACAGACATACATACATACATTCATATATACTGACATCCATACACACATACACACAGACATACGTTCATAATGACATGCAGACATACATTCATACTGACATACATGCATAGATACAGACATACATTCATAATGACATACATACATAATGACAGGGGTCCTCAAACTTTTTAAACAAGGATCCCTCAGACACTGTTGGGGGCCAGACAATAAACAATATGAACAAATTCCTATGCACACTGCACACACACGCATAAGGACATAAATACACACACACACACACACACACACATACTGACATACATACATATATAAACAGACAGATAAAGACATATACATACATATTGAAATACATACAGATACATACACACAGACAGACATGCATACATACACATGCTGACTTAAACACACATACATACATACTGACATACATACATACACACATACATACATACTGACATACATACATACACACAGACACATACATACAGACACACACAACGACACACATACATACATACATACATACACACATACATACTGACACACATACATACATACAGACATGCTGACATGCATACAGACATATTGACATACATACAGACATACTGACAAACACACAGACATACTGACACACATACAGACATACTGATATACACACAGATATACTGACATATATTCAGACATTCTGACATACATACATACATTCTGACATACATTCAGACATACTGACATACATACATACATTCTGACATACATACAGACATACTGATATACACACAGATATACTGACATACATTCAGACATTCTGACATACATACATACATTCTGACATACATTCAGACATTCTGACACATACATACATTCTGACATACATACAGACATTCTGACATGCATACAGACATACTGACATACATACAGACATACTGACATGCATACAGACATACTGACATACACACAGACATACTGACATGCATACAGATATACTGACATACACACAGACATTCTGACATGCATACAGACATACTGACATACATACAGACATACTAACAGACATACAGACATACTGACATACACACAGACATACTGATATACATACAGACATTCTGACATGCATACAGACATACTGACATACATACAGACATACTGACATGCATACAGACATTCTAACATACACACAGACATACTGACATACATACTGACATGCATACAGACATACTGACCTACACACAGACATTCTGACATACATACAGACATACTGACATACATACAGACATACTAACAGACATACAGACATACTGACATACAAACAGACATACTGACATACATACAGACATTCTGACATGCATACAGACATACTGACATACATACAGACATACTGACATACACAAAGACATACTGACATACATACAGACATACTGACATACACACAGACATACTGACATACATACAGACATACAGACATACAGACATGCATACAGACATACTGACATACACACAGACACACTGACATACATACAGACATACTGACATGCATACAGACATACTGACATACACACAGACATTCTGACATACATACAGACATACTGACATACATACAGACATACTAACACACATACAGACATACATACATACACACATACATACTGACATACATACATACACACAGACACATACATACAGACACACACAACGACACACATACATACATACATACATACATACACACATACATACTGACACACATACATACATACAGACATGCTGACATGCATACAGACATATTGACATACATACAGACATACTGACAAACACACAGACATACTGACACACATACAGACATACTGATATACACACAGATATACTGACATATATTCAGACATTCTGACATACATACATACATTCTGACATACATTCAGACATACTGACATACATACATACATTCTGACATACATACAGACATACTGATATACACACAGATATACTGACATACATTCAGACATTCTGACATACATACATACATTCTGACATACATTCAGACATTCTGACACATACATACATTCTGACATACATGCATACAGACATACTGACATACACACAGACATACTGACATGCATACAGATATACTGACATACACACAGACATTCTGACATGCATACAGACATACTGACATACATACAGACATACTAACAGACATACA